TTCTCTATTCGTTATTTGAAATTCAAATTTCTGTTTGTTGGAGTTGCAGTTTGTTAAAAACATTCACGACATGATGGTGACTAAAATGTGCAGATTGTAAGTTTCTACACACGGCATAATTATCTTCCTTGCCACGAGTATCTAAAATTATTTATCAGGATTTATCTCCTGACTGGAAAGTCATTCATTTGCTCAGGAGAAAAGTTTCTAAAAACAACGATGAGGTAGCAAGCCGTATAACACTTGAAAAGAATGGGAAAACTCTCGGCTTTTTCCCTGGAGAAGTATCAACAGATCGCATTAATGCCATTCAGGTTTGTTAATTGCTATTGGATTTTAATCTAATGAAAAAATCATCATGTTAAACATGTTTCTTTTCTCTCTCTTTTTTTTTTATTTTTTATTTTTTATCACCATCATAGGAAGCTTATTGGAGTATAGCTTCTGCACTTTCAGAAGCCGATGGAATTGACTATACTGATCCCGAAGAGGTTCGAGTCAAATAAATACATATGTGCATTTATTTTCACTAATTACAGTTTTGATGCTTCTGTAACTAATTGTTTACTATTATTCTGGAATATAGCTGGAGTTACTGGTGGCAGCTCTTATTGACCTCGATGCAATGGATGGTAAAAGTAGTGTGTCTCTATTGGCCGAGTGTTCGAGTTCCCCTGATGTCAGCACCAGGTTTCTAATAAACTTTATTTAGGATTAATAAGTACTCTTTAATCTATACTTATATAATAAGAATTAACATTTATCCAAAGTAGTAGGTCAAATTATAGTCAATGTCGGATTTGCATTAAATATTTTCCAAAACCGGTAAGTTTTTGTCCTTTTCACACTTCAATTAATTATGTCCTTTTCACACTTCTCATTAATTATGTCTTTTTCACACATCTAATTAATTCATTAATTACGACATAATTATCATAAATCATTTCATCTGATTAAAATGTATAGCATCTGTTATGACCTTATCCCATTGATATTTCCATTAAGCGTGGTAACCACTCTATATCAATAACTGGATATTTGGTTAATGATAGCACACGTCTTTGTTTCAAGGAGCGGATATTCTTTTATCTTTAATTAATCTGAACTGATTGCCTTAACTTATCAATTTTTAAAAACTCTTTTTTTTTAAATATTTCGGCTTAAGATTCGGATTTCATTATACAAGTCATCGGATTGTTTGAATGAAAATGAATGAAAAGAACACCAAAAACAGGTAGCCTTATTCATATAACCAATTATAAAATATTAGTTTGTTCACTAAAAAGAGACAAATCCTAAAAATCCTAAAATATTAGTTTGTTCACCAATCCTAAAATATTAGTTTGTTCACCAAAAATATTAGTTTGATTTTTAGGATTTGTCTCTTTTGAAAATATTAGTTTATGATAATGAGGAGTTACCAAATAATCAAACTCATAATGTTGTGTACAAAGAGATTTTTAATAATATATGATTGTTACCGAACTTTTTATGATTCAACAATGTTCCTATATACTTTAATAGGATTTGCAACATGTGAAACACTGATATCATTTATTTTTTTTCATTATTTTATTTGTATTTTTAAATTTATATATCATTGTGAAACGAGCTTAGGAGGGCACTGGCTAATGCTTTATCAGCTGCTCCGTCCATGTGGACTCTTGGAAATGCTGGCATGGGTGCACTTCAGGTACAAATGCATATCTATTTTTTAGTCTAAGCAAATGTCTTTTGAATATTCGTAATCAATGAAAGTCGACTTGGATTATTTTGTTATTATATGTGTATATATATAAATTTTGGCTTGCAGAGGCTGGCTGAGGATAGCAATCCAGCAATAGCAGCGGCTGCAAGCAGAACCATAAACGAACTGAAAAAACAGTGGGAAATAGAGGAAGAGGACAGCTGGAGGTTCATGTTGAACCAAACCTTAACACAATCTCAATTGAATGATGATAATGACGAGAAGGAAGACGATGATACTTGTGGGCCAGACTAGGAGGAAGCCCACATTTTTCGTTATGTAGATATTGGGAGGCCCAGAAGTAATTTCACTTAGGATCATAAGTTAACTAATTAATGGACTTGATGTGTGCTCTTGCTCTATTTGTAATTTTGTATCAACATAATCAAATAGCAGAAAGAAATAATGTTTCGCGCTGTTTGGTTTCATGTGGAGCAACAATGACATGTTGCCTTTATGAATTTAGTGTGCTCTTGCTCTCTGCTCTCTATGTATCAACATCATCAAATAGCAAAGAGATATAGTATTTTGTGGTTTGGTTTCATGTGGATGCTATGCTAGCAACAATGACATATTGCCTTTATGAATCTGTTGTGCTTGTGGCTTTAGCGTATAGTGAATTGAGGAACTGTTGGGAGTAAGTGTGATTGATTTAGAAAATTAGTAAGACTATTGTAAGATAATCTTAAAAGCCCATTATCAGCATCGAGCCCATATGTCGGTTTATAGAAGCCTGACTATTGTTGCCATTTACTTTCTTTGGTTATTTAGTAGAGAAAATTGTACCCCACACTAACATATTTAATTTATATAACACTTTTATACAACTTAAATTGTTATTTATAAAATTACCTAAAGAAACTAAAAATATTTCAATTATACCTACAATATTGTGTGACCGTTGGTAACTTTTTATCTCCACATTAAAGAGAATTGAGATATTTGATTGAAATTAAAGATCCACTTACCTAAAAAATAGGAACAAAAAAAGTTGATTCTCCTCCAACCAAAACTACTTCACCGCCCCCACGTCTCATATCTCTCTGCAAAATCGCTCCAGAATCTCCCTCAATTCAAACTTCAATGGCCAAAACTAAACTCCCTCATCCTTATCGAAAAAATTCGATAAATGGGGCCGACGACACACCATTGATTAGATCGAGTGCCCGGCTATGTAAAATCTACCCAAAAAATTTTTGGGCTGGCCCCGTCGCCGGAGGGGTTGTTGGATCGGGAGGTGGAGGAGAGGAGGGAGAATTCGGATCTTAGGGCGGGAAGGGAGAGCTCGGATTTGGAGTGGAGGTGCTTGGCGTCGAAGAAGATGAGAGCGTGGAAGGATAGGATGCGGCGGCAAAGGCATTGGAGAGGCGGATGATGCCGGTCTGGGAGCCGGATCGGAGGGCAGCGAGCTCGGGGACGATGGTGTCGTATATGTACAATATATGTAGAGTATTTAAAGTGATGTATATTTGCAGTTTATTTGATATATGTTGAGTATATTTACAGTTTATTTGATGTATATTTACAGTTTATTTGATATATGTTGAGTATATGTTGAATATATAGACAATATATGTTCAGTTTATAGACATTTTATGTTTTCTACCTAAATAAAATCATATTTGAATGCTATATATACTAAAAAATATTCAAAAAACTAATATATATTACACTTCTTGAGGAACTCTCGACATTTAAAATGTGATTAGGGTTTATATTCAGTATATTTTCGGTACTTGCTGCAATTTCTACCACTTCGCGAAAAACAAGAAATTTATTGAGACTTGTTAATTCCCGTAATCCACTCACCACCGTAATATCTGCAAGATTTTTTCTTTTTTTTTTTTTCTAGTAACCAAAACGGAAATCACGGGGAGGTTAGCATTAAATAGTAACTGAATCTAAATATTAATTCAATTAAATATTATCCTTTAAGTAAAGACATAATTAATCATAGGTGTACAATGTAATTGTAATATTTTCATAATCACATGCGATAGATGAAATCCCTATTTAGTAAGGCTATTGTAAGATAATCGTAAAAGCCCATTATCAGCATCGAGCCCATATGTGAAGCCGACTATTATTGCCATTTACTTCTTCTTATTCGCCTCTCCATATTTCGTCCCTCATCACCTGAAACCCTAGATTCCGCTGGAAAAGAATTTCCTTCTAAAACAAATCTTTGATAAAGATTTGTGAAGATTTAGCTTCTGTGTTCCTATTCTCCGATCTGATCTAGGTAATTTTCTCCCCAGTCATAATATTTCAATTATTATAGGATATCATCTGATCGGTTGTTATGGATGTCGTGTACAAAGTTTGTTGACTTTTTGTTTCTTATTTGCCTAATCTTGTTTTTGTTGCAAACAGAGGTTTT